TCTTCTTCTTCTTCTTCTTCTTCTTCTTCTTCTTCTTCTTCTTCTTCTTCTTCTTCTTCTTCTTCTTCTTCTTCTTCTTCTTCTTCTTCTTCTTCTTCTTCTTCTTCTTCTTCTTCTTCTTCTTCTTCTTCTTCTTCTTCTTCTTCTTCTTCTTCTGCCATATCCATTATCAGACATTGGTGATCATTTGGCGATCCTGTTTTTATCAGCAGCCACATGAAAAAGTGCTGCTGAGTTTTATCCAAACCAATCCCTTAGATTTTGAAGCCATGATGTTCTTCTTCTGTCTGGACCTCGTTTGCCTTCAATCTTTCCCTGGAGGATTAAATGAGTATGCCGTATTTTTCTGGGTGTCACATCACATGTCTGAAATATTCTAATTTTCATTTTTTAATTGTTTTGATGATTTCCCTTGGCTTTCCCAGGCGGCTTATCACCTCCTCATTTCTGATCTTGTCAACCCAGCTTATACGTGACAGCCGCCTGTAAATCCACATTTCAAATGCTTCTAGTCTCTTCAGGTGGCCTTCTGTCAGAGACCAACTCTCTACTCCATAGAGCAGGATGGAAAAAATATAGCATCTGACAAACCTGATTTTCAGTCTCAGGCTTCTGTCGTGACTGCAGAAGATCTTTTTCATTTTGAAGAATGCTGTTCGAGCTTTTTCTATCCTTGCCTTTACTTCAACGATCATGTCCCAGCTTTCATGTAAATTAGAACCAAGGTGTGTGATCCTTTCAACTTTTTCTAGTGGTATTCCTTCTGAATTTATTGGTGGTAAATTAATGGGTTGTTTGCTGACGACCATGATCTTGGTTTTAACTATGGCTAGTTAAATTCAGCTAAGTTTGGATTTTTTTCCCCTTCCCTAACATTGTGAATTAATCTGTTTGGACTTTGTCATTGAACCATTTGCAGGTATTTTATCAACAAGGTACAAGAAATATGCAAAATCGTGGCAAAAAGAAGATGGACATTTCAGGTTTTGGTGAGTTGTGGCTTGCACTCACTGTACCTGTGACTTCTCTAGCAACTGTGGTAACAGGCTGATGTCCAGGTGTGTTATCAGATTTTGAGGCCCAACTCAGTTATGGCATTTATAATTTTTTGTAATTTTTTTTTAATAGCTGATTTGTCTCCTGTCTGACTATGGGTCATTCAAGCAAGGGAAGCCAAGCATCTCACCTGGTCTATGCAAGTGAAACCCCCAGGGGAGAGGGTTTGCATATCCCATGTGTGGAAGAAAGAACCTTCCTGATGGACACAACTGAAAGTTATAGCAACAGAACAGAAAATGCCTGATTATGTTAATATGGAACCTGAGTTGAAATACCCATAGATGGGTGGTGAGTGCTAATAGAACACTGGCTCTCTGGAACTAATGACTAATGATTGTCTTTTGATTCAGTAGATTTTAATAGGAACATGTGTGGAGAAACTACAGCCACTTTGCGAAGAGTTCTCCACACTGACATCTATACAACAATGGACTTAGTTATACTTTTCTGGCTGATCATTACAAATGCTGCTGCATTACCATGTAACTGATTGACTTTGGCCTAGGACTGATGCTAACATTAACTTAATGGAACAGTAGGATGGTGAACATTTTGATATTGATTTGTTTGTGTGTAATTATTTGCATGCATTCATTTATTATGTGAATTTCTTGTTGATGTTCCATGTACTTGAAATGTATTTAAAAGATAATTACACCTTAGAAAAACCCCATCAAGTGAACCTCCAGGAAGTACTTGAGGAAGACTGGGCGGAGGAGATTGTGAGGGTAGTAACTTGTGGGGCTAATTGGCCTTGGATTTACATTTTCTTTCTATAAAAAGATTTCTTGCTCCATAGCACAGAGAGACTGCATAGCTTGGAATATGCTAAACAAGATGGCCAATATTAACTTAGGTCACCTATTGATTGAAGGCTATTTTTTTTTCTTAAAATGTTCTCTACCTTTGTACGTTTAGAGCTAGCTGATTTCTGAGTGTGTATACTACTTATGCAGGGCATCCCTTTTTGTTGGGAGTTCCTTAATTCTTCATGGCCCTAGTTATTTTTCTTGATGTATCTTATTTAGTCTCTAGGACAGTGGTTCTCAACCTGTGAGTCGGGACCCCATTTGGGGTCGAACGACCATTTCACGGGGGTCACCAAACAACGCAGTCCACCATTTTTTTTCCCTTTTCCTTAGCTGTGCTACTCCCTTTTATTCTATTGGCTTTTGAAAGCCAATAGAATAGACTCTCTTGAATAGAGTCTAATTCTATTGCTTTCAAAAGCCAATAGGAATTGTCCAGGCTGTCTCTGCCCTGCTGAGCCCGCCAAAAGTCCCATTCTGCAAATGGTGCTGCACCAGTTGAGTAGTCCTCGACTTACGACCGGTTGGGTAGTCCTCGACTTACGACCGGTTGGGGGTCACGGCATTAAAAAGGTTGAGAACCACTGCTCTAGGATGACTCAAGAAAATGGATACTTCTTCCGTATATCGCAAGTTCCCCCCCCACATAATGGTCAATGCATACTGAAATTGGACTTTTAATGTCTTTGTTGTGTTGAAAACACCAGACCAACTCCAAAAGATGATTAATTTTGGATGTGTGGGCCTACTGCTTATGTAGTGTTGCCTTATACATGGTATTTGCCTGGTTTGAGATTGATTGTTCAATAGATATTGACCTTCTCCTTATTTCTGCATTATTTGTACTTTATGCCCATGTTATTGACAATACCATTGGGATAATATCAACTGATGTCTCAAATTGCTCTTTGGCCCCACATGGCCCTAGATTTTTTTTATGGGCAAACATTAAGAGGTGTATGTGCATTCACTACTTCTGGTTGTTATGCCCATTACCAGAGTTAGTTTTTTTTATATATATATATTTTCACTTAGGCAATGTTTTGTATTGTAGTATGTGTTGATGCCTCTTTTTTCTTCCTTTTTAAAATGAAATTTATTCTTTTCTGGTTGTCTATTTTGACATAATTAACACCACTTTTTTGGTGTTTGTTATTTTGATTTCTACATTAGGGATTTTGCTTTGTTCCTTATTACTTGGGTGCTTACTCTGTATTGTGTCAGTTTTGTGAGATGTTTTCCACAAGGCTTCTGTTCCTTCTTTCTCAAATTGCTTCTTCTGCACATTTGGTCCCCGATACTGTTGGTCCAAAATGCATTATTAAACATATACAAATTTGTCTATTCTAGCACTGGTTGGTTTAGGGAAAAACTTGTAATTGTGTTTACTTAAAATTGGAGTCGCAATTAAGTGAGGAAGATATATAAGTAGGAAAAAAATTATCCTTGTGGAATAACAAAATCTGGTGGAATAAAATTATCAGTTCCAGTAAAGGAGAACATTTACGCTCAGGGTTGAAATGAGGGGCCATTGGTGCTCTCTTCAGTGGTTGACTGATGATGTTACCAAATTTGGGTAGTAAAATGTCCGCAAGAAAGCAAGCTTGGAGAAAAACAAGGACTCCTCAAATATCAGTTCTGCTCAAAGGAAGGCCAAGTGCTCCTATCGCAGTTCGAGATATATACTTTTAAATGCAGGTACCACTGTATGGGAACCAGTTTGGGGTGGGGCTAAGAGCTCAGGCTAGAATCCTAAAGAGCAAGAGTTCTAGTTCCACTTTAGGCAAAGCCAGCTGGCCTTGTGGCCAGTCTGTCTCAGCCATAGAAAGAGGGCAGTGGTAATTCACTTTTGAAAATGTTGCCAAGAAAACGGCAAGGATGTGTGCAGGCAATTGTGAAGAATCAAAGTTAACTTAAAGCAGTGGTTCTCAACCTGTGGGTCGGGATCCCATTTGGGGTCGAACGACCATTTCACGGGGGTCACCAAACAACGCAGTCCACCATTTTTTTTCCCTTTTCCTTAGCTGTGCTACTCCCTTTTATTCTATTGGCTTTTGAAAGCCAATAGAATAGACTCTCTTGAATAGAGTCTAATTCTATTGGCTTTCAAAAGCCAATAGGAATTGTCCAGGTTGTCTCTGCCCTGCTGAGTCCGCCAAAAGTCCCATTCTGCAAACGGTGCTGCACCAGTTGAGTAGTCCTCGACTTACGACCGGTTGAGTAGTCCTCGACGTACGACCAGTTGGGGGTCGCGGCATTAAAAAGGTTGAGAACCACTGACTTAAAGGTAGATAAATGATGTATGAAGTCATTAAAATCTAGAGGTGACTGCATTTTTACCACTGTTGTCTCTCTCTTTATCACTGCTACCCATACGTCCTGTTGTTAAAATAGCATTTTGCAATGCTACTTGCATAAATATTTCTGCCAATATATGTCTGGAATGCTGTATCCAATCTTAATATAAGGGTCTATCAATCTGAGCTTGGTTTCTGGGTCCTGAAGTCTTTATAACAATTGACTATGAAAAATGGTCCATTTCTTCATTCCTCACAAAGGGTGACACCTCCCTAGCATGCACCCAGGGGGCAGGGCCGATACAACAAGGGCTGGTTCCTTGCTGTTTCTAGATGGCATTGTGGAGCTAAGACTGAATGTGTTTCAACATAGATGGCCACCACAAAATTGTACATTGGCTCCCGGCCGGCCTGGGCCAGGGCCAAGGCAGCAGGGGCTGTTCCCTCACTGTTTCCAGGATGGCTTCGCAGGCCACATCCAGCCCCCGGGCCTTGTGTTTGACATGTCTGATGTAGAAGATACACTAGCAGCCAATCACCTTTTCAGCTGTAGATTATGAAAGATCCAGAACTGGACGAGAAACATATTCACATGCTCAGTTTTCCCCTTCTCCCATAAGAGGCTACATAGAGAACAGGTAAATGTGGGATTAGATTTATGCCTTGCTAGCTGTACCCATAACCTTCAACTGTAGCATCTGAAATTAAGAAAAGGACAAACCCCCTGGCTTAGACAGATGCTATGAGTGAAAGCTGTACTAAATATTCTAGGATAGAGTAGCTGCTTGAGGAGTCTCCCCATCCCCTGGAAAAGAGAGAAATAATAGACAACAGGTTTATTTTTAAAGCAGAAAACTTTATTACAATAATTTAATAGAAAAAAACCCCAGTTTAAATAAATTATGCAAATACAAAATTACAATAATTAATTCAAGATTACCTCCTCCAGGGAGAGGAGGATATACTGAAAGAGGATTTGGGGAAGTGCAGGAAAACTTGAGATAACACATTAGTTCCTTACAATCTCAACTCTCTCCCTATTGCCATTATTTGGCATATCCAAATAGACTCCATCAGGATTAAAGGGCTGTTGGAATGCCCTGTAGTAATTTGCTACATCTAACGTGAAACAGAGTACCATTCCCACAGAAAACAGAAGGGGGTTCAAATATCATGGTAGGTTGGACAGGGGTGATACAGGATAAAGTATTGTGGTGTTCCAAATAAATGGAGACTTTTCTAACAAACCTTGCATCTGATTGTAAAAGATATATTGTGAGTGGGTGGAGAGACTTCAGATGAAATTTGGATTCAGTTATATCAGAAGGCAAAGATAACATGGGAAGAATCCACTAAAATCTAGACTGCAGAATTACTTAATGCTATTATCATCTAGATAATATTATCTAGATAAGCACCCTGCATTATTAGACAGCTGAGAAAGAAATGGAAAAATAGATTGACTAGGTACCAAATTGGCAGTCATTAAATGGTGTAAGTCCAAAGTTAAATTAAAACAGGTATTTTGACATATATCTGACTTTATATCTACTTTGATATTAAAAATGTTCTATGGATATAAAGTTTATAGCAACTTTTAAAGAACCATAAAGCCATCAGACTAGGGATGGTTAGAATACAGCTAAATGGCAGTCTCTTTTCTGAAAGGAAAGCAATCAGATTAAAGAAGTTGTAAAGAGAGGATTACAGTCTTAATTTGTGTAAATACCGTGAAGATTACAAGACAAACTGATTGGGCTGGCTGGGGAGAAAAAGCCAGATATTAGGACATGAATCAATAGTTAAAACATTCCAATAAATTATAGGACAGACCCAAGCCTTTTATTGTCACAATAGTAGGTGGGAAGGGGGAGATGTGCTCAAATTAGTTATAAAGAAAGGACACAAACACCATAGAGGACCTCTTGGATGAAATATCAAAGGAAAAAAGATCCTCCTTTGGCACGGAAGAATTGGAGTGATGAGGACCGTGGAAACAAGGCTGGATCAGTCTTTGAAAACAGCCTGGTGGCCATGAGGACGTTCATCATGCATAATGTGTCTGCGGACATGAATACGCCGGACACGGTGCTCCCGCCCATCTTCATCATCACCAGCACGGAGGGGGCCTCCGCCTCCACCCGCAACTCCCCCAGTGGCCTCCAGGAGGGCCTTGTCTGGCACCCGTGGTGTCTCATAGATCAGGATGTTTAGCGTTTCTTCAAAGATCCGGGCTTCGGGAAACTCGACCTGTACACCCAGGGAAAGCAGGAGGAAGCAAGTCTAAGCGTCACTATGGGATCCCTGTTCATACTGGAAGCAATGCAATTAACCTCTAATAATATGCTCAATACCAGTGGCTGAAGAACATAAATTAACTACTGCCTTATATCCTTCCTGTGAGATTAAGCATCTTGTTAGCTATTGCAAGAACAGAATTCTAGACTAGACAGACTTCTAGTTTAGTCTTCTTACATATTTAATTGGATTTAGGAAAGGAAAATATATAGTATTTTCTTTAAGATCATGGCTTACATTTCCATGTGAAGATACCAAAACATACAGGTAGTCCTCAACTTACAACTCTAATTGAGCTGGAATTACAGTTGTAAGTCATGCTGATTAGACATGTCATCTGATGACTGACTCAGTTTTATGAGTTTGTTTTTTTTCTATAGTGGTTGTTCAATGAATCACCAAAGTTGTTAAGCAAACCCCTTATCCGCAGTGGGCATTGGAAGTAAACACCATTTTTTTGGCAAAAGACGTAAATTGTGGTCATGTGACCACAGAATGCTGCAAAGGGCCATAAATGGGGACCTATTGCTGAGTGTCTAAAATGCAATCTTCTTGTGACTGGGCAGGGGGAGAGAGCAGCTGATAAAACTTTGAATCTGGGTCATAAGTACCTGGGGGGAGGGGGCTCCTGTAACTCTGGTCACCAAACGACCAGTCACAAGTTAAGGACTACCTGTATTAGAAAATCAAAGCTTCATATTTGGAGTCCTGAGGACTAGCCACACTTTACCTTGGTCTGCTTCTTTTCGGTGGCATAGACGATGGAAGTACAGCAAACCTCCGCAATCTTGCGGCCCTGCCCATAAAATGACCAACAGCAGATCTCATCCCCAAGAACGTCCTTGATGAAAAGCACCCGTCCATTGAACCTCAGAGCTAGTTTGTCAAACAGTTCAATATTCTTCAGTAAGTTGTCATCAGAGTTACTTTGGGGGGGTCGGGGGTGGGGGAGAAAGAAGAAAATAGTGGTGTGGAAACTACTAAAGAAATGGGACTAGTGGATGACCTGGGAGATAGCACAAATCCCAAGGTCATCCTATTCTGACAACAGGAGCATAGCTTACCTGGTATAGGAATACTTATTATTACTTCTGTTATGCAGTAACTTCACCACAGGCTAAAAGGAAGGCGAGAGATATAAATGAATTGAAGACCACCACCCCTCTTGTTCAGAGAGACAGCAAAACAAACTAGACCTTCCCTCATAATGGGGATGGAGAGACTGCATTTACAAGAACTCTCACTTGCCTTGATACCTTGATATATGAGGACATACATCCAAGACACTTAAGTTTCCCTGATCTCTATGATTTCCTGAAGTAAAACCTGTGTGACTTCTTGGCCTCCTTACCTTCGAACATCTTGAGATGATCTGCTGCTCTTCCTTGGGAGATGTCACCATGGGGATATGGCAGAGAGGGTCATAGGCTTCGCTTTTTTGCTAGGAAGGAGAGAAACAGAAATATTTTTCTAGACTTTCTATTCGTTGTTTACAGATTTATTAAAACAGAGTCATATATCATGCTAAAACATGATTGGTGAAATCATGGTTTGTTGAATAAACTATAATTGATTGGGTCCACAAAAGCTGTTAGGCCATAAACCATGGTTTAGAAAACATAACCACTGTGTTTGCGCAAGAGCTAAGGCTCAATTAAAGATATTGTACCACAGTGTAGAGTAATGTGTAAACCAGTGTTTTTTTCAAACCTGGCAACTTTAAGATGACTGGACTTCAATTCCCAGAATTCAGCTAACATTCAGTCTGGGGATTTCTGGAAGCTGAGGTCCATACATCCTACAGTTGCCAAATGTGAAAAACACTGATGTAAACCAAGTCAGTATATGCTCAAGGAAGCTTTAGAATTAAAATTAAAGGCATAGAGCAGGCATATGAAACTTTTTGGCTTGCCTGAGCTGCATTAAGTGAAGAGGAATTGCCTTGGGTTACGTATAAAATATATAACATAGTTAATGTATGTAAATGGACATAAATGTTTATGATTTTGTTGGGCTGCATTACTAGCTGTCCAGGGCTGCATGTGGCTTGTGGGCTGGACACACCTGGCACAGAGTCTAACAGAAATTTTAAAAGGGAACTGCAAGTAACACTTGAAAATCATATGCTTTTTTTAATATGGTCAATTCTCCTTCATAGATACTCAATATAAACATATACAAAAATGGGAGAAAATATGTAATATGAATGTATGTATTCATGCTTTTCATGTAATATCTGGGCAATTATTTCTTTTTTTTTCTTGGTAATGCAATTTAACCCAAACAGAAAAGAATATGGAAGGGAAAGGATGATTAAAGAATCAATTCCTACACCTTTACATAACTCTTAAAATGTCCCCCTTTACCCTTTTTACATTTCAACCACAATTTTATGAAGTAGGTAAGGTTGAGACAATAGTATTAACTCAAAGTCAATCAGGGTGCTTCCATGACTAAAGGGGGAACCACTTAGCTAGCACCTTCCTCAGTATAGTGGCCCAGCTTTCGGGCTGAGAGAAGACTGGTTCAAAGTTACCAGTGAGCTTCTAGGGCTGAGAATGGACTAGAAGTTGGGTCTCCAACTTGTAGTCCAGTAACGGAACCACCGCATCACCCTCCGTATATTTACAAATGAGATGGCTGGATGATGCTAGAAGATATCGTAAAACACTATTGAGGATTGGACCCAAATGAAAGCATGTTCTGGTAAAACAGAGGAACCATTGGTCCTTCTAAGTGGACAGGACAGGTCCTGCTTTCCTCTCTTGTCATCTCTTTTAAGGAGTGGAAGTCAAGGAAGTAATTGGGCCTTCTAATTTCTCAGCCCAGCCATTCTCACCTGTAGTGCAAGCTGGCAGTCCTCAACCAAACCTTGGATCAGATAATACCGGGCTTCACACAACACTTCCTCCAGCTCCCGCTGGGACTCTGGAAGAGATACTGAGCCGTCTCGCAAATAATTCAGAATAGTTCCAAAATGGCGGCCACTTCGATCAATCAAGATCCAACCTGGAAAAGCAGTTAATTTTAATCCCTGAGTTAAAGATGCTGTAGACCAGGATTTCCCAATCTTGGCAACTTTAAAATATACGGATTTCAACTCCCAGAATTCAACTGCCAGCCATGCAGGCTGGGGAATTCTAGGCACTGAAGTCCACAGGTCTTCAAAGTTGTCAAGGCTGAAAAACCCTTCGGTAGTGTGAAGGATCTACATAGGCAACCTCCCCATTCTAAAATGGCTTAGAGGAGAATATACAGTTATTATTTGCATTGATACAACATTGTGTTAATGGTAGAAGAGTAAGTTCTTGTTTAATTTAATTCTAGGCTTACAATGTACTTTATCTCAAAAAAGAAAATGTAACAAACGTAGACCTAATAGAATTTTTTTTTTTTATGAATCTACTTTGGATGTTATGCCTTGGCAAGTGGCAGTATTTAGTTGACCTTGTCTGGCCTTGGATGGGATATCTCCAGGAAGTATCAAGCATGGCTGGATGGGGAATTCTGGCAGTTGAAGTCCACACCTCTTAAAAGTTGCTAAGGTTAGAAAAGCCTGCTCTAAAATAAGTCACCCTGAAATTGTCCAAGGGCTCCCTGGGAACCACGCTGGATGAATCCCCAATGCAATCTCCATCATGTAGAAAATCCAATTCCCAGCTGTGGGAGAGATGGGGCAAGCTGAGGCTCATACCTTCACTATCTGTGAGGACTTCCATTCGGCCACTGAACATGGCCTTGAGCATCGTATCTTGCTTGGTCAGGGTCTGCACGGTGGTGTAATGCAGAGATCCTCCCACATTCAGCTTGACGTACTTGCTGCTGGGATTCAGGGGCTTGAGGTCCAAAGTCATCTCAGTTACCCCACCCCTGCCATCCCGTCGGTGCTGGGTTGGGACCAGCGGAGCACAACTCTCCAGGGGTGGGGATGGATCTGTCGAGGCCTCAGCTGACATAGCCACTTACAGAAAAAAGAAAAGACAGTTCGCTTTTGTTTTTAGTTGGTTTTTAAAGAAGAAACAAGATGCAGCCTTGGAAATCCTCCCGGCAAATTTATTTCCAATGTTATTTGGCTAAATGTCTCCCTGCAGCTCTGCCATTATCACCTCCCCCCCTTTATATGAGTCCTCTGCAAGAAAAAACTGGGTTCATTCCATAAGACGGGTTTTTTGTCGCCGATCGAGCAAGATGCTTCCAGACTGGGGAAGACAAGGAAACTAAGGGGGCATGTCAGTCATGGCCATGGATGTATTGGTAAACACAGGAAATATCCTGGAGGCCGTGGAAATGCTGGTGGTATACACCACCATAGGATTAACTTTGACAAATACCACCCTGGTTATTTTTGGAAAGGTTGGTATGAGACATTACCACTTGAAAAAGAACCAGCACTTCTGCCCGACAGTGAATCTGGATAAGCTCTGGACGCTTGTTAGTGAGCAGACAAGGCTGAATTATGCTAAAACTCCAGCAGGACTAGCTCCAGTTATTGATGTTGTACACTCTGGGTATTACAAAGTCCTGGGCAAAGGAAAGCTGCCCAAGCAGCCTGTCACTGTGAAAGCAAAATTCTTCAGCAGAAGAGCAGAAGAGAAAATAAAGGAAGTTGGAGGAGCCTGTGTCCTAGTGGCATAAATGTTTATATATGTCTGCATACTAAATCACAGGCATGAATGAACTATTTCCATAAGACAGGGAGCAGCAATGGATACCATTCAAGCTTACAGGATCTGCTTTATACTTTACTAACTGGAACCAAATAGGAAGTACAGGCAGTCCTCAACTTATAACCACAATTGAGCCCAAAATTTCTGTTGCTAAGTGAGACATTTCTTAAGTGAATTTTGCCCAATTTTATGACCTGTCTTGCTGCAGCTGTTAAGTGAATCACTGCACATTAAATTAGTAGCATGGTTGTTAAGTGAATCTGGATTCCCCGTTGATTTTGCGAGAAGGTTGCAAAAGGTGATTGCATGACACTGGAACATGGCAACGGTCATAAATATGAGTCAGTTGCCAAGCATTTCGATTCTGATCACATGACCACGGGGATGCTGTAATGGTCGTGTGAAAAGTCATCACTTTTTTCAGTGATGTTGTAACTTCGAATGGTCACTAAACAAACTGTTATAAGTCAAGGACTACCTGTAATCCCTTTTGCTATGAGTTCACAAACAGAATGATTGAGGTGACACATCATACTAAGCCATATAGTGGCTTGTTTGTTTGACACTGGGTAAAAACCAACCAAGTGATGTTTAGTCACCATATCTAAATTCGAGGCGTAGCAGAAACGTATTAGATCAGACATAAACTCAAACAAGGAACTAGCGATCAGTACCAGAACCTACCCACCAATCTTTTCACACACAAATCCCATTCTCGCTCTCTCTGCCCTGGCGCTCCCCCCTCCTCCAGGAATCTAACTGAAAGGAACTGTCTGTAGGTTTCAAGAATGATTGAGCCACCTTCCCACCCAAAGCTCTTGCCCTCCAGAGATGCTGGCACTGAATGGCCACAATCCATCCAGCTATACTGATTGTCAGGCATTACAGGAGTTGGTCCAGAGAGCCTCAATATGGGAAGGGAGAGATATTAGAAAATGGGGTCCACCTAGAGATCTAGCACATCTCAACCTACCTTCTGCTTCTGCGTGACACTCCACACCCCAGGCACTGCTAATGGGAAACAATAGGTTTGCCTTCAACTTTGCGCTAACTGTTCTTTGCCCCAACAAACATCCCTGCCCAGCGGGATCATTTCCTTGTACTGCCTGGCTCCACCCTGCTTGCCCCACCCCAGCTCTTGTGCTCTCTAGATGTTAACTGTATTCATTTTCGTGCCCGCCCAACCACCAGGCAGGCTGTCTTTATTCGCTCTTGCATTATTTATTATTACTATTATTGATTTTCTTGAGTAACTGCTCTGGGATCTTGGGGTGTGCCAAGCCTGTGAGAAAAGCAGAATATTAATATATAACAGAAATAAATGACAGCATCGGCTATGAACAAATCCATTTTCTAAGTCTAACCCTATTTAAGTCCTCTGAGCTCCAGGATCTCCCTTTCTTCAACCTTTTCCCCTGCATTGGCCCCACAACAGCTTGCTTCTCCTATGGGGGCTTCCTTTCCACTCAGGGCAACAAATCTTGAGTGCAATTCCCGGGCTATCGCTAGATGGCAGCAAACGATTGAGGTTCTTTATGCTCATTTGCTGCCATCTAGTGGTACTTCTGATTTCTGCAACCCAGATCCGGCATCCTTTTTCCGCCGCACTCCGACCTCGCCCATTTACCACCTGATCCACTCACCTCCCCCAAGGCAGCAGGGTGGGCTCAAGCCAGGCCCCTCCCCTTCAGCCCCGCCTGGACTCAGGTGCAGCTCCTCAGGATTCCTCAACCCAAGAGAAAGAGGAATGGAGGGCGACAGTGCGCATGCTCACAAACGCTCCGTCGTTTTCCCCCCCATGGAACAGTTACTCTATACATCCGGGTACCGCCTGCTTAAACGAGACAGAGGCGGGTTGACTTTCTTTCCTTCACCCTGCCGCGGGTGGCTAAACAGCTGCGCCTGCGCAGAAAGTGAAATCGCGTCCGCAGTGAAGGGTCAAAAGAAACGGAGTGATGGAAGACTAAGTCAATCGAGGTTGCTGGGGAGCGCATGCGCAAGCTATGAGTCGCGCGTAATATTAGCGCTATCGGAGGAGTGGGTGGGAACCTCTCGCGCCCCCCCTCTGCGCATCCGGGCGGTGTCTCCACCGTCTCTTTCATTAGGCAACATGGAGGGGTGGGTCTAAATGTGACCCTGGACTGATTTTATAGTTTGTGTGCCGTGAAAAGTCAACGTTTGAGTAATTGTACTTGCGCACGTAATTTTTGGGTTTTCTTTCTGACTTTGGTAAATTATGGGTGGGGCCACGCAGGATGAATTTAATGACCCCCCTCCCAGATTTAATTTAATCTGGAAGTCATTACATTTTGGGATGCCTACACATCTGTATTTTGTTTGATCCAGATTATGAGTATATTAGTTAATACAAATATTGTGAAGCCAATTATTTAAGCTGAGGGCAAGAGATTGCTGTAAAACTTGAACTCAAGAGAATACTCTTGGAAACCGTTCCCAGACCTTCTTGTATTATTTCTGTGCTACATAAAAAAATACTATGGCATCTTAAAGATGTTATTTCTGTTGATTTACAGTCTGCTACATGTGTGAAGTATTATGACATTTGTGTATCCTTTTTAGGATGTCACAAGGCTTGTGACTGTACAATATGGCACAGGGAGCCCTCGACATATGATCACAATTGAGAAGTTTCCATTGCTAAGGAAGGTGGTTAAGTGAATCTGACTTCCCCCATTGACTTTGTCAATTAGAAACAGCAGGGCACGATACTGGAAAGTGATTACAGTAATCCATTTTCCTCTAAAACAGGCATGTCCACCCAGCCTTTTGGCTTGCATGGGCCACATTGAATGAAGAGGCATTGTTTTGGGCCACATACAAAATAAAGTTAATGTATATAGTGTATATAGGTATGTGTATAAATAATGTTAAAAGTTTACAATCTTGTGGGACCACATTACTATCTAGGGCTGCATGTTGCCCACTGATTGGACGCTTCTGCTCTAAAGACAAAGGAATGTTTTGGGGGATTATAGAACAAATCTTTTAGAACAGGAGTCCCCAACCCCCGGTCCATGGACCAGTACTGCCATGGCATGCCAGCAACCAGTCCACACAAACAAGAAAAGCCGCGCTTGCAAGATGCAGGCAGCACATAAAACCACGCACTCTCCCGTCAGTGAAAAACCTCTCCACGGAACCGAACCTTTTGGGCACCTGTTTTAGGAAGCAAGATATAGGATGCAGGAGAAATGGGGTGATAGAAAAAAAAACCCACATGTCCTCCCTCTATCCTTTTAGGTTGCATTCTCAGTAGGTTATAAGTAAAAAATATATAGCCTGAACAGAAAAATGTTTCCTTGTTCCTGATTTCATAGATGAGCAATATGCAGGAGGAACATTTACATAAATGTTACTGGATTAGGTCAAAGGCTAACACTGTTTCTGCAGCAAACAAGAAAATGCTTCCTCAGAGTAGGAATAAGCTTTCTTCTTTCCTCAACAGCTGACCTAGTATCTCTACTAGGAACATTCGTAGATGCCATTATAAATTAATGATTCCTACTTCTTTAGCATCCCTCTTCCTTATTTCCCAACTGATTGATACTTTAGTTTAGCGGAATGAGGTCATCAATGGAAGGGCTTGATTGGTGGAAAGAAACAAAGAGACCTTGGTTGGAAAATACCACTTTAAAGAAACTGATGACCAGACGAAAAACAATGGTTGGGACACATCCGGTACCAAATTGACTACCACAAATATTCATGTCACACGGAAATTAAATTTCAAGTTTAGAGCATCTCACTGGATCACAGAGGTATGCTTTATATCAAGAGCAATAGCACGCACCTGTTTCCCTTTGGGCGTTACCATATTTAGAACAGAAACACTAAAAGCTACTATAATTCAAATCTCAGAAATATGTATCCCTACCTATTTCATTACAACCCTGCCAACCATGTTTTGCGAACTTGGAGGGGGGGGGGGCTGGTAGAAATATGTAATCAAGAATCACAAATGTTCAATACATTGAGACCACTTGGTATTCCTTTGCTTTATCACAGAGGTCCCCAACCTTTTGGGCACCAGGGACCAGTTCCGTGGAGAGAGGTTTTTCTGTGCACCAGAGGGTGCGTGGTTTGGTATCCTTCTTGTCTGTGCATGGTTTGGCTTTGCTTGTTTGTGCAGACCGGTTGCTGGCATGCCGTGGCCCAGTACTGGTCCATGGACCGGGGGTTGGGGACCCCTGTTTTAGCAGGTTAATAAACACCACACGTGCATTTTAAGAGGCTAAGTATTTCTGAGAATACAAATGCTTTGTGTCTGTTCTCATACATTACCCATAATACTTCTGTCAAGATTCTTTCAGATTAGATTAATAAAGCCTCAATTGATTTTTCATGACTGTGCTCTGTGAAGATTTTAAACAGGAAGCATCCTTTGTGTCAAGAATTTACTGATGTGTAGAATTGGCTTCATGTCCAGTTGTCTTTGAAAAGCACGTTTGGGACAACCATGACCTGGATGACTGAGAATCTCATTTGGCTTCATAGGGGTTACTAGTCGACTTGTTTGAAAATAATTTGTACTGATTTCTGTGAGTCCAAAGCACTCCACCCCACCCATAGCAGAAAATCCAGGAGTAACTGTTATCCTTGACCATTAGCAATGAGGGGACATATTCCAAACTTTATCATCTACAAAACCTAGTTAGCTGAGCCAATGCTTTTTAAAACATAAAATAATCATTGTAAGTTGGTTACACCCAAATTTTAATATAGGATGGGAAATGTATACAGACCTATGGAATATTCCAAATTAGCTTAAAATCAGAATTTTTGACAAACACCAAGGAAACTGAAAAAAGGAAATGGTTTGTGACAACATTGTCCAAAATTTAAAAATTAATAATTTCCCTTTATTCTCCACTAAAAATACTCCCATCTCCTTTACGTTGATACCTTGATAGTTGTGAATGCTGGATGGTTTACAGTGAAGGACCAAGGATGAGCAATGTAATCATTAAAAATATTGTTCTGAGATTTTAACATCTAATATAGCAATACCAATAGATGCACAATGCTATACAGCCTTCTCGAAGTAGTCTAGAGTCAGCATATTACCCTCCCCCAACAATCTGGATCCTCATATTATTGACCTCGGAAGGCTGAGTACCTATATTAGTTAAATAAAAATGAACACATAAGCAATGTTAATTAAAAAATCCTGGTAGGGGAGATGCTGTTTCAGTGCCAGTCCAGTTACTGAAGTTTTCGAAGACATTTGAAGATATTTGCCTGCACAATTGGAAAAGAGCAATGTTAAGCCTTAATTGATCACAGATATAGAATATAGCTACTATCTGAACTACTCCATCAGTAGGTATTGCCCGATTACCTCTGATTAAAACTTTGTTTAGCAATCCAAAAGTGCTTTTTCAAAAGAGAATTCAGCAGTGGTGAATTCTCCACCATTCAGTTAGAACTGAAGAAACTTCTTGGAAGAGAAGCGAAACGTCTTCAAGGAAAAACAAAAGCCCACGTGCCTTTTGAAAAAGCACTTATACAAAACCTCCGCTTCTGGATTTGTGCTTGAAAGGAAAAATAAAACAAAACTTTGACTTCAGCTTTTGCTGATTAGACAAGTTTGTTGTTATAGAAATGGCTATTAATTATGCAAAAATGTAAGTTGAAGCTGTAATGTTATTCTATTGCAATGAAGAGTCAGAAGCTAATGCTTTTTCTCCATTCTCCTATATTTCTCTCTTCCCCCCTTTCCCAATGCTTTCATTTATATACGTTGATAAGTTTAATAAAAATTATGTGTATAAAACAAGGACAGATAAAAAACCCATTCTCCCTTAACTTATCTGAAAAATGCCAGTTTTGTTTCTCATGGAAGCTTTCCTAGTATAGTCTGGATCCAGATGCTTCTACTTTGAGAATAAATCCATCAGTGAATCAGTGGATCAAATTAGTGATGACTAACAGGTTTAATTAATTTCAGCAGGTCTGCTCTAAACATGACCAATTCTAGGTACACAACTGTCTCTCTTTTTGTGCCCTATTCCTTTTTATTTTGTTTTTATCCTTTATTCCCTTTTTAATGTAAGTTAAATAAAGCTGCTACATCAAACATAGCCTCATTGCTTGCACCCAGGACAATCCCAAATAAGCCAGCATGTGTGTGTGTGTGTGTGTGTGTGTGTGGTTTTACTCTAGCATCTAATTTCTCCTGGAGTTAACTATGCCTTATGTTGAAATATAAAGGAAAGCTATTCTAAATTTAGATTCCGGGTTTGCTAATGTGAGCAACCAAGGGAAATGAAATGTCTTCAGTAACTCAGCACATAATGGTTTCATAATCCATCAAATGCTAACCTGGGAATTATGCCTTATTAGAACATGCAAATTCAGCTATTGTAGTATCAAGCCATTAATACGGCACTCAGAAACTATACCTTAATTAAGAATGTTTAATTATTAACCTAGTCACTATAAGTGGCAAGGAATTCTGTCTAGGAAGGTGGAGTAAGAATAAATCACTTAGTCTCCCCTCTGTGGCTGGTAAGCAAGTCGAACTCTGCTTTTAGTAAAAAAGAAACACAGGAGAGTCTTTCCAGAGCATTTAGCCTTGGAAGTGCTAGATCATTTCTCATTAAAAAGTAAAATTATTTTTGTTAACAAATTATGAAGCTAGCAACTTTTCTGGCTTTGAGTAAAAAACTATATATTCATTTGTAGTCATTTGGTACCACTGATTATCTTTTTTTGTATGTGTGCTAAAACTTTAATTTTTAACTCATGAATGTAGATGCTGGATAAGTATTGGGATTTTGTAATAGAACAGAATATTCATATATTCAATATCCTATTTTTAGCCCCCCTCCACAAAGGTGAATTTCCAGATGTTGAGTGATAACTTCCATCATTCCCTGCCACCAGCCACAACACCAGTTGGAATTCTGAGCCAATTAAATTACATAATTTAGACAATCTTTCTCTGAACTGAGTAGAAACTTGGCTAAATGCATACCTCCATAAAAGAGTCTACTTGTTTAGCTGTAATACCATGAATTTTCTCAAGATCTTGTACCTATAAAAAGAAAAAACACACACGATACAATAAGGTATAGCCAACCTTGGCTCTCTTATGACTCATGGACTTCAACTCCCAGAATTCCTGAGCCAGCATGGCTTAGCTTGGAAACTCCCTTTCCCCTCAGCATGGCTGGCTCAGGAATTCTGGGAATTGAAGTCCACAAGTCATAAAAGAACTTTAGAACAGCACCGGGCAATCCACCGCCTTATTAACGATGATCCTCAGAACTCTCCTTAATTACAGTAGACCTCAATTGAGCCCAAATTTTCCATCATTAAATGGGTTTTGCCTCATTTTACAACTTTTTTTTGCCAGAGTTCTTAAGCAAATCACTGCAGTTGTTGAGAGAATTATGAAGCTGTTATGTGAATCTGGCTTTTCCCCACTGACTTTGCTTGTTGGAAACCAGCTGGGAAGTTTACAAGTGGTGATCACATGAACCTGGGACAGTGCAATTATCAATACGTGCCCAGTTGCCAAGGGCCCGAATTTTGATCACATGACCATAAGGATGCTGCAACCGTTACAAGGGTGAAAAACCTGTGATAAGTCATTTTTAAAATGCCATTATAACTCCAAGCAATCACTAAATGAATGGTTGTAAATCGAGGACTACCTGTATAGTATCACCAAAATAATCAAGTTGTGGTAGCAAAACTGTCGAGTCGTGGTGGCAAAATTGGTTTTGCTTGTTGCAGTGCAATGTCAATAAAAGGATATCAATTATACTAGAAGTTAACATTTATATTATCTATCTTCAGTGCAACACTTCCATGCCCTTGATGGTTTTCAAAGGCGAGGAGGAGGAGGTAATGGTGGTGATGATGGATTTGGGAAGGATTACAAAACACTCAGATTTGCAAATGAAGATTACAAACATTTGAAGGTAACCAACAATGGCACTATTATTATTGGGGCACAAAGTGCAATACCATGAGGACTTTGAATCTGGATTGTCTAAATTTGGAACAATTTACAACAGCCTAACTACACAAACAATAGCTTTGTTGGGCATCGCATACTTAAGCAGATGTCACTTTAGGATTCCCCAAGCCCCAAACAAAGTAAACTGGCATACAATGGCTGCACATGATTAATGGAATTGGATTGTTATTACCTAAAAAAGTGTGGAGCTCAGATGATAAAGAGTTGCTTGTCTAGGGTGAGAAATTATGGGGTCAGCAATATGTCCCAAATAAACTCTGCCCTGAGACCACCAACCTTCTCAAAAGATCCATAATTTTCTCTCCAGCTCACAATCAGCTGGGCCTTTTTCTTGCCAATGAGGTGCAGGCCCATAAGATCCTTCACGGAACCTGAGTTCATGAGGGACAGAATATTAGCTTTGCTATGAGCCAGCTGATCTGGATGGATCTTCATCTCAAACTCAAGGGGAGCCTTATTTTCAGAGTCGAAGTCTAAAATCTGAAAAACAAACATGGAAACAGAGAGTGACCAATGAGGCTGCCTTTTAAAACCAAACCCCTCTTACGTAGCCATTTATCAACTCCCACCTCCTATTAATATAGACAAGAATCATGGCAAACAAATGATTGTCTAGGCCAGGGGTCTGCAACCTTGACAACTTTAAGACTTGTGGACTTCAGCTCCCAGAATTCCTCAGCCAGCTATACTGGCTGAGGAATTCTGGGAGCTGAAGTCCACAAGTCTTAAAGTTGTCCAAGTTGCAGACTCCTGGTCTAAACTACAAGATCTGCTCAGAGATTTTCCCCAAAAGACTAGTCCAATCAATTTGCCTACACCAGAATATACTGTGGAATCAAACGCAGGACCTCAAAACCAATGAGGCTCACGAAATAATTGTTTATTCCGTGTGTGCTGGAGTAATTCCCTCCAGAAAATAATGGGTTTGGGAAGCGCCTGACAAAGGGACTTCCACAGACAAAAGGATGCATTTATACATTTCAGGAAAGGAGGAGAAAAGACAGTCAAGGTGCATAGATAATTATGCATACTATTGCCTATGCATGGGTAATAGATGACGTAAGCATAAATAATTAGCAAACCTCAAATTACTTCCCCATCCACTGTAATTATCCTCAAGAGTTATTGTCTTAATAAAAAGAAACATATCAGTTATGTTCATGTAGCTCAGCGGTTCTCAACCTATGGGTCGCGACCCCATTTGGGGTCGATCGACCATTTCACGGGGGGTCGCCAAGCAAGGCTGTCCGCTATTTTTTCCCCCCTTTTCTGGCGGGTGCCTTACTTCCCTTGGGCTGGGCCAGCTGGTGGCCCAGCCAGTGTCGGCCTGCTCCGTCTCTGCCGCTTGCCAGCTACGCCTTGGTCGGCGCAGGGGGCGGCACCACACTTGCGACGTTCCCAGGCAGGGAGTCCTCGACTTACAACCGGTTGGGTAGTCCTCGACTTACAACCGGTTGGGTAGTCCTCGACTTACAACCGGTTGGGGGTCGCGGCATTAAAAAGGTTGAGAATCACTGATGTAGCTTGTAGCAGTTTTGATAAAGCATACTGCAAAGAGGATTTCAAGTATGCCTTAACTAAGACACATTCTAAGTTTCTATCTTGCTATCACGCTCCCATTCCTACATTCCTCCCAAAACATGATTTCCTCACAACTGTTAGGTATCTATTGGCCTTCAATGGTTGGTGAGTTATTGACCAGCCCTTAATTTGTCTGCCTGGTAGTTCCCTGCACACTGAAGCTATATGATAAGACCCAGAAGCGCTACCAGGTTTGAGAAGTCTCTGAACAAAGCTATTTCTCAGGGCTGCTTGCTCATTGCCCTGACTACCTCACCCGTGATCTGCTTTTATTTAGTGATGGTAGTAACAATGCTAAGGATGTAGGATAATTATTTTTCTGTGGAAAATATTTTAGTTTGGGAATGTTTGGCAAATTCAAATCAGAATGTTTTGCAGTGGGTTATCTTAAAAACAACAACAACGAGAAAGTAAAACTACACTGCTACTATTTTTGTATTACTTATTGCCCAATGGTCTTTTCAAATTTTAAATAAAAATATTTGTGATTTTCTGCAAATTTAATATTCAAATTTCATAAAGCAGCTACATTTGATTTTCCCCCGATGTCAAACAATTTGGCCCTAGTACCTATGAAAACTATGACTAATAAGACAAATATGCTAATTGAATCATACTCATTGGCCAAATTTTCTAGAAAATCCACATCTCTAGTGCCAAAATTTCAACAACTATCCCTGCTGGCCATCCTACGCTGTTAAAGCTGCTGGATAGATTCCAAATGAAACTCTCCCCAGAGTGTGAGTAGTAGGTGGCAGAACAAATCAGCTCTTGGTTTGGAGTATATGGTCAGTGCAGACATTATAGAAACAGCACAATTTCTATTCTTTCCACCGACCACAAACCTAAATTGCAGTGTCTGATTGGTTCCATTGCCTCCTCCTTATAGACCGTCTAATCCATTTTTTTAATTATCTCCTTCTGTCTTAGTGTAATCCATAAACCATAGGTTTTTGCTTATTGTGTTTATGAACCCCAGCCAACTATGGCACAGTTAACTACGATTCAGATAATCAGCGCCTTGTGTGAATCATACTCTGCAAAATTTTAATTTAAAATGATACGTGGTCCCATACTATTAATAATTATTCTGCAGTTTCTTGGATCACAGTGTACATTCCTGTTAATTAAGAGTAAGGAAATTATTAGTATGCATTTTGTTGTTGTTAGTTGCAAAGTTGTGTCCGACCCATTGCAACCCCATGGACAATGTTCCTCCAGGCCTTCCTGTCCTTCACCATCTTCTGGAGTCCATTTAAGCTCACGCCTACTGCTTCAGTGACTCCATCCAGCCACCTCATTCTCTGTCATCTCCTTCTTCTATTGCCCTCAATCTTTCCCAGCATTAGTCCCTTCTCCAGTGAGTCCTTCCTTCTCATTAGGTGGCCAAAGTATTTGAGTTTCAACTTCAGGATCTGGCCTTCTAAAGAGCAGTCAGGGTTGATCTCTTCTTGGACTGACCGGTTTGATCACCTTGCAGTCCAGGGGATTCGCAGAAGTCTTCTCCAGCACCATTAGTATGCATTACCGGTCTTATAATCTTTCTTTCTCTTTAACCCAATTGTCTAAAGTGCCTGAATGTACCTCAGATGAGAGCATAAGACCCTCCTGCACTAAGGCATCAAAGCCAAGGTCTCTCTTCTTGGAGCTACTACAGTATTTGTTGCCTGATTTCCAAGATTCAATTTGCACAGGGAGATGGGAAGGCCCCTCAAACCTGGGTAGTAATTTTCATGAACCAATAAGGTTCCCTATCCCAGCTTTCCCTAAGGGTCCTCCCAAAATGGCTGCACCCTCAGTTGCTATTGGCTGCAGTCACTATGGCTTAGGATGCTAGCAGCTAAGAAAACATCTGGAGGACATAGGCTTCCAACTGACAGTTTGAAATGGCTCTTTCCCAGGAGATACCTCTGTTCCGGTATGTTTGCCTTAAAAACTGTGGTACATATGGCAAATTGGCTGGAGAAAATTTCTACTACCCTTCCTGTTCTTCACCAAAATCGGTTTACCTACCTTCTTCTTTCGGCCTCTGGTCTTTTGTTTCTTAACAACACCTTCCTCTTCTTGACTCTTGACAGGTGTTTGCACTGGAGAGGGAAAGAAAGCAAATTGGGACCTTGCCACACAGGAGAATAAGGAAGGCCTGACTTCAAAAGCCTCCCCAACCTTCTCACCTTGCTGGAGAGGCAGTACTGTGGCCTGTTTTCGGGGTTTTGCAGCTTGGGGGAAAAGCACGCCTTTTTTGTTCTTCAGAGTCTGGGCTTCCATTTCTAACTGCTTTTCTTTAACTTTCTGGAAGAAGCAGGGGTAAAATAAAGGCTAATTTAAGGTGCAAGTGGGGAAAAGGAAGAAAGTGTCATGATATCTTTGTGGAAAAGAAAAGACTGTCATTGGACTAATAATAGTTCCACCGTGATCTTATGGCAGTCAGTAATCGCCTCTATTGCTATGAACCTCTCTCCCTTCCATGCATAGGTGTCATAGAATTTACTTAACAGGATCTGCCATGAGCTTGGGTGTTGTGTATTAACTTAATTTCATAAGGTCTGTTATTAAAATGGTTAACCACGTGGTTCAATTTAAATCCTTAACTGTCTGTTTGTATATATTGCAAGCCTGTGTTTAGGCGGGAATGTATGCTTTAAAATCATTGGCTGCCACCTAGTGGCGATCCATATAAATATGAATCAAAAAGCTGCTAGTGCCGCTTCTGTGTGGATTGAATAAATGAGCTGTTACTTTCATTCCTGTGTCTTCAATGCCTCACCATTCTCACTACACAACATTGGGGTTACCTGCTCTATCCAAATCTTTCCTTTTTTAATTTCTCTCTTCACCATTCCATTCAAATGGAACTGGGCGGATGCATCACTGGTTCATTGGCCTCCATTTTGCCCTTCCTCCAAATCTCCACTCTATCAATCTTTTGCTTCTAAGTCAGGGGTGTCAAACTGTGTGTCATGCTGAAACCGCCCCCACCCCATTGCCGGCAATGGGAAAAAAAAATCGCGATATGTCGTGACACGTCAGGACACCCTGTTCTAAGTGCTTTTCTCCTCTGTTGCTTATTGTGAACATGAATAGTAGCATACGGTTACTTTTTCTGAATGCGTGAACTGAACAGGATCAACACAGCAGAAATCAGAATATTAATCAGTGTTAATTATTTTTTACCTCTTTGAAGTCTTAACATCTACCATTCCCACAACTCTGAGTAAAACAAAAAAAGTGAGGATGGCAAAAGAGATAAAAGAGCAATTATCAGATAAAATGCTTAGCGTGTCGTATTTTTCAGTCAAATGCATCCATTTGCGATTCGCATACAGTCTTTGAAGACAATACACATATTTCTTTTAAAAAGCTTAACTCAGCAGAAATATTCCTATCTGTATAAAACAGAAAATAAGTACCTGGTTTAATGTGTCTGCTCAATTTTCAGCATGGGTGAATTTTATTTTAAAAGACTAGACAAAGACCCAGCATTCTTCTAAAACCTTGACTGGTTAACGAGGACCATTTTTAAATCAATTAATCTGAGCATCCAACTAAATATTGCATTTCTATTACAGTGGTACCTTGGTATTCATCGTTCATTGGTTCCAAGAGGCATGACGAGTACCAGATTTTTCCTATAAGGAATAATATAGTGAATCACAAGGCAACCGTCATCGACAAGTTCTAGCTTGTGTGTTGAGTACCAAATCCGATGAGTTTCAAAGCAATTGAGTACCAAGGTATCATTGTACTTAGTCACATCAAAGCAGAACAATGGAAACACAAAAGACAGACCTTCAGCTCACGGCGTGTCTCATCCAGGAGTTTCAGGACATTCAGCCGTTCCCTGCGTGGTGTGTTAAGGAGAGGTAACATCTGGCACCCAGCCTTTCCTTTCTCTAGAGCCTCTAATCGTAGCAATCGTTCAGCCAAATTGGGGTCAAGATTCTCAAGAGGCAGCAAAGAACTAGTACAGAAAAAGACCAGGTCCATGTCAGATTGTGTCTCACTCCTCCAACACGCCAGCCAGAGCAACAATCCCTCCTCAATTCAGCATTTGGGAGGTGGCATGAAAGAACTGGACTGCACCAAAAGCTACCAAAATACCTGGTGACTCACCTGAGTGGCTTCTCTTCAGGTGGCCCTGGCTGTTCTTCTTGTAGGCAAGGCCTCTTGGCCTCATGGCCTGCATCTCTGAAGCCTGGACAAGGCCTCTTGCCATCTGTAGGAAGAAGAGGATTAGCTGTCTTTGCCCAACATTCACGGTTTATGGATAGACTTACAACCATTCGTTCAATGGCTGTTCAAAGTTACAATGGCACCCAAAAAAGTGACTCATGACTGTTTTTCACACTTATGCCTGTTGCAGCAACCCCTACGGTCCTGGGATCAAAATTTGGACACTTAGCAATTGGTTCATATTTATGACGGTTGCAATAACCTAAAGTTATGCAAATGCCTTTTGACAAGCAAAGTCAATGGGGAAGCCAGATTCACTTAACAGTCATGTTTCTAACTTAGCAACTGCAGTGACTCACTTAACAACCATGGCAGGAAAGGTTGTAAAATGGGGCAAAACTCTTGCTTAGCAACAGAAATTTTGGGCTCAACTGTGGTCGTAAGTTGAGGTCATTAACTGTATTCAGTCAATTCAGTCCCTGCCATTGTGTGATGGGCTGATCCACAAAACTAATCACCTAGGCTTGCTTCATACAATTCTGTAGGCTAAAACTGGCTGGCTTGTGACTGTGTGAATTGTCGGAACATAGCAATTTGTTTATCTGATAGAGAAATATATAGAAATAAAATTCTCAAAACCCATCTCTTCCCTATTGTCCAACTCCAATGGCCGCTTTTAGGGAAAAAGACCTTGTATCTTCTCTTACATTATGATTTTGCCCTTCATGATGTACATTATTCAAGATCATTTCATTGTGTGTCAAAATAAAAAGAGCATTAAAATAGGCCAACCAACTGAATTTGTAAAAGACAACATCCTATTTTTTGTTATGTGTGTTGCTAGGAAACTATGAGATCAGGTAGGATGGAAAATTTGCCAGGAAAGTGTTCTCCAACATAATATTCAACAGATAGTCGTCGACTTAACAGCAGTTCATTTAGTATCTATGAAGATTCTCAGTCAAACAAGGAAGTCCAGTTGCCTCCTAAAAAGCATCTTTGGGAGTCCATTTAATGATTGTTCAAAGTTACAACTGCAGTGAAAAAAAATGGCTTATGACTATTTCTCACAACCATTGCAAAATCCCCACGGTGACATGATCAAAATTCAGACACTTGGCAACTGATTCACAATGGTTGCAATGTCAAGAGGGTCATGTGATCAACTTTTGCAACCTTTCAACACGCAAAGTCAATGGGGAAGCCACTTAACAACCGCGTTATTAAGTTCACAACTGCAGTGATTCAATTAACAACACTTAACAACTGTCACAAGAGAGGTTGCAAAATGGGGCAAAATTCATAACAGAGCAACAGAAATTTTAGGCTCAATTGTGGTCATGCATTGGGGACTATCAGTATTGTTCCATAAGCACCTTGGCTTATAGCAGGGGTCCCCAACCTGTGGGTCACAGCTCATTAATGGACTGTGGCCTAATCGCAACTGGGCCGTGTGAGTGGCCGGCTGGGCGTATGCGCACCTGCAAAAGAGGCCATCACCCAGCCCAAAAAAGAACAGACCCAAGCCGTTCTCCAACAGCAATCAGCACCCAGATCAGCGTAGATTAACTCCAAGGTCAACATTAGACCAACAATCAAGTAAGTAATACCCCAATCAAGAAACTGCCACAGAGCCATCAGTAAACAGCCCAACCAAAGAATCTCTAAGATCGCCCCCACCCACCCAGACAGGCAAGACACCAGAATACAAACCGACAGCAAACAGCACTCCTTACTAGCAGTGATAATGTTACCTAGTTTGGATAATGAAATGTCTGCAAGAAAGCTCAGAGACTATCAAGGAACCCTCAAATTAAAGCAGGGTCATCTGAGCCCCCTTTTTCACAGAGTCCTTAACAAATGGAACTAATAGCTCTCTTGTTGTCAGGAAAGAATTGTTTGACTGCAGTGAGTAACAGATAAAGAGCTTGGAATATGGCCTTCATTTGTCATGTTTTGGAAGGCCCTTTCTTCCCACGATTTGGAAAATTTCTAAGGATATTTGTCTGTCACAGAAGGAAAATCAGGCAATATTTTACTTGATTCCTGAAACTATAATTTTGTAGGTTGGCCCCTTAATTCCCCACCAACTCTTTATATGGAAAATCCCAGTCTTTACTTAGGAAGAAGCGGAACACCGATTTTCTTGCCGTTCTGCAGTTAGCAAAGTGCAATGCGTGGTACAGGATGGTCTCCTTGTCGAAATGTTCAGAAAAAGATTAGATACACATTTATTATGTAGATTAATGTTATTTGAGAAATGAAAATAACAGGAGAAATAAATTCCAGAGATCCCAGTTTTTAACTTACCCCATCTTTCAGATAGGAATCTGCACAATACAGATTAAGACATTAGGAATAATATAGATTATTATTTCAAAGAGAAATCTTTGAAATAATTTTCAGATCTCAGGGAACCGTGGCATAAACATCACCAGAAAATATGAAAACTTAACAATGCAAATATGCTTCTCATCCACATACAGTCCATGTTTTACAGCATTTACAACAGCAAATCAGCAGGCCAGCAGCCGAATGCGGTGTGAAAGCATGCCAGCACTGTGATTGCTAGCGTTGCATTGTGTACGAAGTTTAAAAAAAGATTTCTTTTTTCTTCAAATACAATCTCCGGCTGAAACTCCTAGTGACCTCTCAATTCCAACTGAGAAATGCTACTCTAGAGTGTTAATTCCAGGACTGAAGAAAGATTCCCACCTCCCCAAAATGGAAGGTATAATGAGGTCAGCCCTCCTCTTCTTTCATGAACTCACCTGAGACAGAACTTCCTGCTTCTGGTTGGTTGCTCACAGTTTCAGTTTTCCCAGGCTTTGCTGGTTTCCTATTATCTATAAAGACAGGTTTAGATTTGATTAACTTTTTGAAACATTTTCTTCTTTACTACATTAAGACTTGGTGTAAACCACTGTTTCTCAAACTTGGCAACTTGAAGATATGTGGACTTCAGTTCCCAGAATTCCCCAGCCAGCATGGCTGGTCTAGACCAGGGGTAGGCAACCTTGGCTCTTTTATGACTCGTGGACTTCAACTCCCAGAATTCCTGAGCCAGCTATGGGAGGTCATAAAAGAGCCAAGGTTGCCTACCCCTGGCCTAGACTTTGGGAAAGAGTTCCAGAATGTAGATGAAGAGGTCTGGTCCCCCACTCGCCTAGCCTTTCTGGGTAGAGCAATTCACACCCATATTTTCTCATTTAATTTAATCATGGAAGGTTCAAGTGCTGGAGGTTATAGAGCAGCCTTTTGTTGCTTGGTGGCTTCCAGAATTCCCAACTTTCTTCCAAAGCCCAGACTACATAATTCCTGACTTACCAGTTTGGGGTAGGGCTTTCTGGGTGAAGGGTTTATTCACAACTTGTTTGGACTTTGCAGCAAAGTTGAGGCTTGTGAGGGTGTCAAAATAATATTTCTTCTCTGGAGCGATGTTTGCAATAATCAAGCTGTGGGCACTGCCTCCCAGAGAGTCCTAGAGGAGAGATTCCAGGGGAAATAATCACTCCTTGATGTCAACTCCTTCCCATCCCAGGGGGGGAAAAAGAGAGAAAGAGAATCCCAATTACCTGCAGCAGACGGGTCAGCTTGCTGTCTCTATAGGGAACTCGAGGCAAACCCTGATTAAGGGCATCAACCACCTTGCTGAGCACAAAGAGGGAGCTGTTGATAGCTCCGCTCTCTTTCAGGCGTAGGCCTTTGTTGCCCGTTTTTCGATTGTCCTCAGAGCCGGCTAAGTCGATGAGGCACAGCTTCGCAGTCTGGTGAGAATATGTGGGCCAGTCCCGGATTCGGTTCACCAGAACCAGCAGCACAGCATGACTGCGGCTGGAGCGCTGGTTCAGCTGAGTCGATGCCACCGTTCGTTTTCTGCTCGCCGGCAGAAAATAGCTTTCAAAGTCTGCAAAGTTAGTGAGCTCTTTCTGGGTCAAGTCTGGAACCAGGATGTTGTGGTTACGATCCTCTCTGATGGGCAGGTCTCGGAGGGTGGGCTGAAGAAGGTCCAAAACCTGAGGAACGGAGGAAAAACCCTAGTTTGGATGGTGGGTGTGGAATTTTAACCTTCACTCCTTCTTTATCTTTTCCCCAGATAAGCTAATACATTCCAGCAACAACGTTTTTCCAAAGGTGAGTAATCTGGGCATTGATTTTTAAGTTGTTTAAAAAAACTGTTTCAGATCTTGTTTTTTCAAATGACAGAATCAATTCTGCATTGGTTTCTTGTTTTTCTCTTAAGACACTAATTTCAGTCAAATGAGCCTTTTTCCTGCCTATTCTGCTTCAGGTACAAGAGGCTTTTTTCTCCTTAACACTCCCTGTTGGATTGCTGTTGTTGCCATGAGAGCTGTCATCTTCCAGCACTAGCCATTAATGCTGGGCTGGTGATAGCTGGCGCCCAACAGAATCCTGAGCTATAAATTCCCACACCTTTTTCTCTCCAGTCTTTTCTTCACGTGTGTCAAGACGTAGGAAATCAGGAGTCAAGAGAGAATTCAAAACCGCTACGAGATTATTTCTTGCTACCTATTCACAGGAATCTGATCTATTAACGGTCAAGGCAATTGGTGCCAGATAAGAATCAATGGACTTCAAGAAGGAGAGTTTAGATCTCTTAGTCGCTATCAAAGATCCTGCAGGAGAAGGGCAGTGTGGACAACTGTGGGATCTGGCAGGGTGAGAGCTGTGAATCACAAACACAAAGCGTTCGGTGTGTCCCTGCACAACAGATACAGTGCCCTTGCTGACCTTAATAGGGACATTAAGGAGACAGGTAAAGGTACTTGTGATGATAACTCAAATAAGCAGGGGATTTTGGTCCGAGATGAAGAACTTGTTTTCGACAGGGAGAAGTGCAAATCAGGTATTACACACATCAGTCATGCAAGAACAGAAAGGCACCCAAAAAGAGAAGCCACCTTCTGGTTGGTGATTCAATTATAAGGGATGTAAATTTAGGAAAGGACACAGAGGTTTTCAAAGAGGTCAGGTGTCTTCCAGGTGCTACTGCCAGTAGGGACAATAAGGGTATTTGTAAAATAATCAAGAATGCTAGCAAGGACTGTGATGTGGGGGCTATTGTACATCTTGGCACTAACGATCTGTCTCAAAAAGATGTACTCTCTGTGCAGAATGATTTCCAGAGCCTGGGGCAGGAACTTAGCAGAATAGGCTGTAGGCTATGATGATAGCATCTCCAAATTGATATGTTCAACCCCACCCGGTCATTTCCTACACATGTCCTCTATTGTCCTTACCCTTTCCCCTCTTATACTTTCGGTAGCTATTAGCTCTCTTTGGTTAAGCTCTTCCCCCCCCACTTCTCCTTTGCAAGTGCTTCCTTGCCATCTGCTTCTTCCCAATAATCATGCCTCAGTTCTTCATCAATCTTTAGAACTGAAATAATTCCAGCCAGGAGCCGTGTAGAATATTGGAGGGAGGGGGGTGTCATCAGAGCAGAGTTAGAACAGCAGGGGGTGGTGAGGGACAAATGTTGCATCATCAATCAACCTGCCAATCTCCTAGGCCAGGGTAGACAGCTTGTAGTCTTAAGGCTTCATGGTCTACTTCAGTGTTGTTCAACCTCAGCAACTTTAAGTTGGCTGAGGAATTCTGGGAACTGAAGTCCACACAGCTTAAAGCTGCGGAGGTTGAGCAACACTGGTCTGCTTTAATTAGATTAACTTCAAAATCTCCCTTCAAGAGATTAAGCTGAGATTTTCGATAAGAGGTATCTATTATGTTCTTATGATTCTCCGAGGTTGACTGTTTTCATGCAGACATGTTGTATAAATATAGCCAGCATCGCCAATATACTGAGGAGATGGCTAGTTTCTAAATGTGATAAATAAACATTGTTTAAGCCCGAAGTACACATATTCTCTTCCACGAGAGAGATCTATCCCTAGGGGTGCAGTAGCCCAGTAGCTTAAAGATGCTGGATTTGCCAACCAGAAAAGTTTGGCTCTTTGTACCCCAGCAGTTCAAGCCCCAACACCATGAGATGGAATGAGTCCTGTCACTCACCTCAGCTTCTGCCAACCTAGCACTTCGAAAGCATGCAAGATGCAAACAGATAAATAAGTACTACAAGTACCACTCCTGTGAGAAACTAATGGCGTTTTGTGCAGCAGAAATAAACCAACCAGCCTGGTCTTGCCCAAATGCAAGGCGAAATCAGTGGAGAAAAAGAGCCGGATGAGGCCAACTCGGTATGTGGAGCTAATTTGCTCCCTGCGGTGCACCCTGGATAATGAACTAAACAAACTAGCAATCTTAGGCAGCCAAACTACTCTGTAATAACATGGTAGACTCCCCGGCTCTCAATGTACGTTAAATAAAGAAATACCCTTAAGTTTACTTCTTGGGAGAGAGAGGGACAGGCAAAGTTATCAGAAAAGAATGGAAATGCGAGGAATATAAGAAATTGTGTCTGAATGTCTAACTCTACTCAGTCTGAGCTCTGACTCCACCTGCCTCTTACTTTAGTTCCCCCCATCATGTATTCAAATAACCTTGAATGAAAGTAGAAAAAAGATTGTCCAGAACTTCCTATACCAATGATGGTGAACCTTTTAGAGAGCGAGTGCCCAAACTGCAACCCAAAACCCACTTATTTGTCACCGGGTGCCAGGTGGGTGTGGCCCACTGGGTGGGCATGACTGTAGTGGTCATGGCAGACTGGGTGGGTGTGGCCAAGGTGGGTGTGATCACCTTGATGTTGCTTGTGGGGAGGGACACATGCGGGGACAGGGTTGGGGGGGATCCAGGAGGTCTCTAGCAGGTGGGGCAGTGGGCAGGAGACTCGTCCTGCAGGGCGAGACGAGGCAAGGCGGGGGGGTGCCATTATCTCAGGGCAAGGTGAGGCAGGGGCCGGGGCAACTGCTGCCTGACACCATCGGCTCCCGCACACAGAGGCCAACGAGTGCATGGGTGCTGGGATGCATCAGGCCATGTGGGATCTCGGCGAGTAAGTGGGCGGCTGGTTGAAGAGGGACTGTTGCCATCTCCGGGGCATAGCACATGTGCCCACAGAGAGAGCTTTGAGTGCCGCCTCTGGCACGCGTGCCATAGGTTTGCCACCACTGTCCTATACCAATCAGTAAACAAGTAGTATGTTTACATCCAACACCCTTTCCATTAAAAGCCGCGATAAATCCTAAAACAGCATGAAAAAAGAAAAGAAAGTACACATGTGCACCTATCATTTGCCACGATCAGTTGGCCATGCTCGCTCCAACAGATCTGGCTTTTTATTTGCATTATGCTTTAAATCCCTTTCTTCCCAGAAAAATCCCATCATTCTGCGCCATTATACTTACCGGGCTCGATTTCCCCTTTGTACAATTGTGTAAACCACGCATTTTTTACCTTTTCTTGATAGATTTCCAGATAGGACATAGAGACAGAGTATTTGCATTTATCTTCTGAAGCATCCCTTGTCATCTGCAGGACGTCTCGAACAGCTCGAGGGATCACCCCTGGGTGATCTGGATTTCCCAGCATGGTGTATGTCTTGCCTGAGATTCGGCAGGAAACAAGATGAGAATGGTATAGCATCGTCATATCGTTTTAGCCCAGTTCTTTCCCCCAGATGACCCCAACCCCTCTGGGTTCATTTGGTTTCTTTGTAGCACTGCCTTATAGTCACCTGCTCCAGTTGGTCCATAAGCCAGTATGCTGGCATTCTGCCCCTTCAACAGATGGTGCAAGACAGGCTTGACTGACCCCATGTAGATATCATGTTGGGTGGCTGCCTCGCCATAAAACGCATCAAACCTGGTGAAGAGTATATGGATGTGAAAGGAATGCAGGACAGAAGCTTACTGGCTTCTTTGAAATTTTTCTTTAGTCTTGAGAAATGGAACAGCAAATCCAGATACAAAAAGTTTGTTTTAATACAAAAGTATATGACCTGTTTACAATTCCCACACTCCTTTGCAATTAGATATACTTGCTGAAGCTTAGTGAAAGGCACCAAATTACCCGTCTTCATATATCCACCAATATCAAAATATCTCACGATCATGTATCTGTTCTTATGTGGCTCTTGGACTCCTTTCTCCTGAAGCTTTGAACCACAACAGACTGTTGGCGTTTTACTATTTATATTCTGGCTTTATTTTCTTTTTTTAAAAAAAAACAACAACTCAAGGCAATGAGCATACTTCATGAGTGTGGACGTCTTCCTTCTATTTTCCCCACAATAATCCTGGGTGACAGGTTGAGCTGAGAATGACCCAAAGTCATCCAATCAGATTTAATTTCTAAGGCAGAACTAAAACTCAACATCTCTTTGTATTTTAACCAGTAGCTCAAACTGACTCTTGTCCATACAATGAATTCCAGCAGTTCATTCCCATAATACGTGTATGTAAAGAGACTAATTACTGTATAAAAAGTAGCATTATCCAGAAGAAAAAGCATCTGTCATTGCTCATTGCAGCATAGTTCAACCCTGTGGAAAATTAGGCACACTAAGAATCATTCAAATCTATTGAATATCCTACCCAACTTACTTGTATTTCATAGTCTCCATCTCATTTCTCCAGTTGAGAATTTCCAAGGAATGAGAGTCCACACCTCGTACACATGGAGCTTCTTGACCTTGTCCAGTCCCCACACCTGGGCGCAGTCGTACACAAACCTGTACTTGCTCAGAGACATTATCAGAGCGGCGGAAGTCAGCCCGACTTAATCGCTGATGAGTTGTCATGAATACCTGTGGGGAAAAAAATACAGGATTGAACAAATGTATTAGCGCAGGGGCCCCCAACCTTTCTGGGTTGGTGGCCAAGGCGGGTGGGTGGGAGGCACCAACAGGGCCGTGCACACATGACACAAATGGGCCACAAATGACCACCCGATGCTACTGCCCACACAATACCACAATGCTAGCGCAAATGGGGATGTTGTGCTTGCAGCAACGCTAGCGCCGGCATGACGCCCTGATGCTAGCACAAATAGGGGGTGAGGTCAGGGCAACACTAGCGCCCGCCCGATGCTCACAGCATTACTAGCGCCTGTATGACGCTAGCATGAGGGGGTGCAAGCATACACACGCGCATGCACTGGTCAGCCACTCATGCGATCCAGTAGCCAACAGCTCATGGCCCAGTAATGGGCCACACACCACAGGTTGGTGACTCCTGTATTAGCCAATGCATATACTACAATATCCAATGGAGAACCAACAAAAGGCAATGGCATCATTTTCTTTAAAGTGTTACATTCTCCTAGGTTTGGCTTACGGTCACTCACTCATACACTCACAGCCCTGGAGAACTGTCACACTCAAATCACCTTCAACTCAATACTGAGGCACAACTGGTTCTTTAAAATACACAGAGACCCAAAGCATTTAAAATAACAGCAAACCTTACTGATTATAATGCATGTCCATTTCCTCTTTCATACATGCACACATACTCATCCACATTTATGTCCTCAGCTAGGCTGGCAGGCACTAGCCAGAGGGATGGAAGCCACCAAATCTGGGTCCAAAGATGATTCAAAGAGTGGGCGGACTTCAGGACCCCTTTTATCCCCTAAAGTCCTTGCTTTGTTATGGGTAGCTGTTGATAGAACTTGGGGAGGGGTTTCCCATGTGCTCAGGCTGAACTTCTTTTGTCTGATTCGGGATACATTTTTTCCTTTGTTTCCATAACAACTTGGTTCCTTCTTAAGTACTTCCTGAGGGAGCTTTTCCTGACTTTTGTTCACGCTGCTTACTTACCATCATCATTACGTGTGGCAGCTTCAGCCTACCTTACAAAAGCCTAAACAGCTTTTAAAGTTTAAAATCTAAACTTCACTTCTGAAAACAACTGAAGATATTCTTTTTTATCCTGACATTTATTGGATAATTATATCAAAATCAGACTGTCTTTTCACTCTCCTATTCTTTCTTTAGGAAAAAAAAAACCCACCAGTATTTAACTTATGTTTTATTATGATCATTTTGTTAGAAACATGATTAAAATGTCTTGCCAGTCTTCCAGGACCCTCAGGACACAAACAAAATTGGATTGGTAAGAAAAGAGTTTATTCTGCAGAAAATAGAAAAAGCAGTTTGCAAAGTGCGGTGAATCTCTGAGAGAAACTTCAGCAGGAATTTCTAAAACAGAGACCACACATATTCAAATTCACAGCATTATATACACTTCTATCGCGACGCCCCCTCCCCTTCAGTCCATTTGAAAAGACTTCAGAGGGCACAATCTTGTGCGAGATGCTTAACTAGAATACATCACCCCTCCCCGATTACATCCGTTTCAAAACTTCCCCTGGCCACCCTTTTGTCTTGTTAAGTCCATCGTATGAAAAGGGGAGAGCGGATAGAGAAGCAATAAACAAAGCAAATGGAGGAAGCTCCCTCCCCACAACCGTTTTATTTTTAAACTTCTATCTTGTTCACAATTTTAAGGCACCTCTCCCCCACAACTATCTTTGAAGAATCACAGAAATAAAATGCTATTGTTCATTGGCATTAACCTATTCAGAATTTAACATCAATACTGTAAGTAATGTTTTATTATAGTTTGATCTAAAAAAACATGTCTTTTTGAAATAATTGGAATTGTTCTTGAACTTACAACCATACATTTTCATAAAAGCAGACCATAGTATGGGAAGGGATATCAAGGGTAATCAAGGGAAGGGAAACATGCATTTAGTAAAAATTGATGGGCGACCAATCTTGCATCAAGCTGCTTTTTGAACTTAAGGAACTGCCTTCATATTGGATACAAAAACCTCTCTGATGTCGGCTCGGAATCCTATTTTGCAAGGAGGCTTTTAATGGGACTTGGATTTCTTTCTAAGTAATTAAAATGGGATTTACTTCCAAATATCAGTTTCAAAAAAAAAAGTCTCATCCACACATTACATTCACCCTTACCAAGTCCAAACCGCTTCAGCCCGTGCAAAGTCGGATCCCAATCTCCGTTTGTATTTGGCGCCCGCCCCGTAATAGGAAGCAGACCAATGGGAGAAAAGAAAGGAAACAAATGTTTGCCTCTGCGCGTGCGCATCACTCTCTCAAGTGTGACGAGCCCTAGAGCAGTGTGAAAGGGGAGTTAAACACAGAACGGAAATTTGCGCACGCGCCTTGGAACAAAAGGGCGTTTGGAGAAGATACGCGTGCGCAGTAAAACATGATGAATTCGGAACGGAAGTGTTACGTAGGGCGTGGGAGGGATGTCACGTAAAATCGATCTTAACACGGTAACGCCTTCTATTTGACATTGAACCAATTTTTCACAGATACTTATTTTTTTTGTATCTTGATTAGAAACATTAGAGAACGAGTCTCTCTTGTATTGGTGCATTATTTTTAACTATACAAACGGTTCAAGAGCTGGAATAGCGTCTTTTGCATTTTTGTTTATAGTATATATATTTTTAAACGTCCAGGCTTTTTTTGGTCACTCGTAATACGTTTTTACCTCTCATTTTGTAAATAACATTTGAAATTTAAAAAATGGTTGTAGGGAGGCTGGGCATAATCCAATTATATATTAAAAAGAGGATAGCGTATGCGCAATGCGCCGCCAAAGCGAGTCGCGCTCATGACTTCTGACGCTCAGAGGGGGCGGGGCTGGATTAATCGCCCCAAACTGCGATCGATTGTGCTGGGCTCGACTCTTGCAGTCTCGCTAGAGGGGAAGTGGTATGGCGAGGGAAAGAGCGCTCGCGAGCTCCGATGCGTGGTTGGCCAGTGGAGTGGCCGAATCATTTGCTCGGGGTTTAGCGCCGCCCCTTGGAACGGGATATAGTGCCTCTGAGCATATATAGAATGCTATTTCTGAAAAAATGTGTGCCTTTAGGTTGGTGAAGCTCGCCGCTCTCATATTGGCGTAAGTCTAAATCCGAGGCATCTGATTTTTGCAAAGCAGTTAAATACTTTGGTTCCGTGAGTATCTCACTTACAATCCCGCACTTGAACGCAGGATTGCAGCTCTAAGACTGCGCTTAACTCCTGTACCGAAATCCTTAACTTCGCTTGACTCATTCTCACGGTTAACATTTGGAGATTTGGGGTAGGACTTCAGAAAATCATGGCTCCAGACAGAGTCTTCTTTCCCCAGCCCCCGAAAGATATAATATGGTCTAGTTTATGACATTGATGTGAAAACCTGATTAGTTTTGGCTACTGATTATTTGTTCACTTCTATTAAATTATAACTATCAGAAAATACAGGTAGTTCTCAATTTATGACCACAATTGAGCCCAAAATTTCTGTTGCCCAGCTAATAGGATAGTACTAGTACATGAGGAGAACATAATTAATGCATATTTGTCCAGAATATCATTATCCCAAATCAAATAAGCTCTTTTTCATTCATATTTCCTGTACACTTTTCAAAATATTTTTAATTAGAATGTGACAGTTCAGGTAGTGCTTGACTTATGATCACAATTGAGCCCCAAAATTCTGTTTTGCCACAATTTACGACCTTTCTTGCCACAGTTGTTTAGTGAATCACTGCAGTTATTAAGTTAATGACATGGTTGTTAAATGAATCTAGCTTCCCGGTTGACTTTGCTTGTCAGAAAGTTGTAAAAGGGGATCATCTGATCCTGGGATATTGCAACTGTCATAAATATGAGTCAATTGCCAAGCATCTGAATTTTAATCAGTGACCATGGGGATGCTGCAATGGCCGTAAGGGTGAAAAACAATAATGTCACTTTTTTCAGTGCTTGTAACTTTGAACTGTCACTAAATAAACTGTTGTAAGTCGAGGACTACTTCTATTTGTACAGAATTTTCAATGGGCAACATTTTGTGTACGTTTTCTAGCTATTTTTTATTAGATTTTTATCCTGTCTTTATTATTTTATAAGTAACTCAAGGTGGCGATCATACCTCCCTCTTATTTTCCCTACAACAACAAGCCTGTGATGTAGATTGGGCCGTGTGTGTGAGACTGGCCCAAAGTCACTCAGCTGACTTTCTTGACTAAAGCAGGACTAGAACTCATGGTCTCCTGGTTTCTAGCCTTTAATCACTATACCAAACTGGCTGTATTGTTATAACAACTCTAGTGAATTGTTATATTAGTATTGACCATGATTACAAATAAGAGACCTGAAGTAAAGAAAACTTGGTTTGAGACCCAGAGAACTCATGATTTATCCATTAAATTCATATATCTATATTGCCTTCTTCAAACTTGGGCTAGGTAATTAATTTTGGAATAATCAGACTATGTATACTAATTTAAAGGCAATCTACCTAAACATAAAGTTATACTATATGCACCTGTTTAGATTTCTGTAGGATTGTGATGTTTGTCTCCTGCCACTCTTTAGCAACTGAATGTTCAAGATTTTAATTTCATCTGTAATACTTTTAAATACTTTTTGTAATAGTATGTATATTCTTCTAAATTATTATAGGCTTTCATCATGACTTCTATCTCTGGAAAAATCATTGGAATCAGAACCATCTTTGTATACTGCTTTTAATTCCTCTGGTGAAATGGCCTTTTAAAAAACCTTCTTGCTCATTCTTGCAATATCTTGGAGGCCTAATAAAAGATATTAAAACCTAACCAGAGTAAGTATATTTTGCATGAGAAGTTTCTTTTTTATATAGTTAATTCCAAAAGCTTATAGCAAAAGTTAGTGTTCCAGATTACCTTGGCCCTTCCTTAAATACATTTCTGACTTTTTAGATCAAAGTCATATTTAGCTTTTTGCTGCTTATTTCAAAA